TGCACATACAATGTTGCTAGTTCTTGTAATGAAGAGATCCAATGTGGAATGGGTGAGGATTCAAAAGTGTTATTGCTCACATCCCTATTACAGTATAATCACATCATAGTATTAGGTTAACTAAAAATGAAGATTTGATGGCAAAAATTTTATTGCTACAATCACATCATAACATTAAAAGTGTTATTGCTCACATCTCTCAAGGATAGTGATGGCAAAAAATAAAAATATAGAAACTTACAATAGAGTGAGAGCGGTCAAGCTGCTTAAATTTGGAAGACTACCTGTGAATTTGTTGTTCGACAACATTCTGAAATGGATTCAACGACAAACTCTTTTACCTCTTTTTATTTCTATCTACAAACACAGAACCAAACTCAAATAGTTCACTTACAGCATATTTAGATTTGGGAGATTATTAAGACTTGAAGGAATATCTCCACTTAATTCATTACTATCAAGGACTCTGTAACAAAAAAAAAAAAACACATGAGATTAAAGTAGTTGGTATCTAGGTTGAACGGAAAGGGAAAAGTAGAAACGATTTAGAAACGTGGAAACAATTTTTTTAAAAAATTTAAGAAACGGGTACGTTTTGGAAACGCGCACATATATATATATATATACAACTTTAAAAACAATATTTAAAACAATTTAAACAATACAAATGATATACATAAATATTAAATAGCTTAACAAAAGCAAAAAGTATAATAATTTTGTTGTTTTTAACCTATATACAAACGCAATCTTTCATAATTTTGTTTTTTTTAACCTATAAAAGTACTAAATATATTCCTACATTTCCAAACTATTTAATTATTACATAAGAAACAATTTTTCATCGCATTTCCAAAATGTAATCGAATATTTCGTCGTATTTCCAATTTGAGATTTCTAGGAAACGAGTTTCCGTCGCGTTTTCATCGAGTTTCCAAATTAAAATATTTTAGGAAACGCGTTTTCGTATTAATTTTTTTTAGGAAACACGTTTCCATAGAGTTTCCGAAACGTTTCCGAAACGGGAAACGCACCTCAGATGGAGTTTCCATGTAACCTAGGTTGGTATATATAAAGAATTTGAATAATCTTTTACAACTTACAATATTGTCAACGTTTTAACTAAGCCGAGGCTGTTTGGTATTTTTCCCGTGAATCGGTTTTCATTGAATACCCTATCCATAGACAACAAACGACGCAATCACTTATTTAGCCACTACTACCAATTCTTGAAATTTGTAACTTTCATATTTACTATGAAACATACACATGTATTAAAGTCATGTTAGAGCTGAAGAGCTTCTCTGGAATATCGCCTGAAAGCTTATTTTGTCCAAAATGACTGCCACAAAAGTGAAAGGTGAGTTCTAGGTCAATAAGTATGTAATATAGAGTAATTATATAAAAATGAAATAAAAAGTTTTAGGATTATATATACAAGTGCTTTGCTTCAAAAAGCATGTCAAGTCCTGGTGAAGTAGTCCCATTAGAAATAGGAAGCTCTCCTTCGAGCTGATTGCCAGTTATATCAAACCGATATAGCTTTGATAACCGTCCGATGGAAGCTGGAATTGTTCCGCTAAATTGATTTAAATTGAGGGAGCTGCATGTAAGAAACACATAAAAGGGAATGTTTATGTTAAGAAAAAATCCATTAAAATACACTAACTAAATTTATGTAACCACTTTACTACTCAAGTATTTGTTTTCACTTCAAAAACAAATACATCAACTAATATTCTTTTCTTTTATAATACTCAATCATAGATTGTACCCATTTAATACCTGAATTAACAAAATAGTTACTATTTTTAGTTTATAAAAAAAAATTATATATTAAATATCTGGAAAAACAAAAACACCAAAACTATAAACCAAAAACACTACAATTTAAAGTTTTGATTTCAAAAATAGCACCAAAAGCTTGATATTCTAAAAATACCACCAAACATTTCGGTTTTCAAAAAATATCACAAAAATAAATTTAAGCTTTAAACCTTTAAAACTAGACACAAAACCCCAAAAACAAAACC